GACTGGAGTTCAGACGTGTGCTCTTCCGATCTCGGCTTATGGCAGTATCGCAAAAGTACTAGAAAATATTAAAAATGGCGTCGAATGGCCAATCATAAGTTTGATTTATTCGGCAGCCATTTATAATAGCGATAAATCAATCTTATGATTGGCCATTTGCGTGTCCAATCAGGACTCGTAACACCGGTCGCGCTTCTCTGATAATCTAGGACTCTAGACACAGTCTGGATCTTGCACTTTGTTTATCGCGCGTGCTCGTCAGATGGCGCGCAGCGCGCGCTGTGATGCCAATCTCAACGACGTGGCACGTTGGTTGGGTCGGCTGGCGCTTGGTGGCCGCCGGTCGGTGTTGTTGGCATAGACGTAGTTGGCGCACGTTGGATTCGTTGGAGCTGCGCTGCTGAATGAAGGGCGCATTTTCCAATCGACATACATCGTGAACGGTTTTGTAATTGTGACGGAGAACCGACAAAAAACTTACAAGATGAATAAGATTATCCTCGTGTGCACGTTGATGGGTGTAATTTCTGTGGCTTTCGCCGAGACCTGTCAGAAACCGGAGATCGTCGCGTCGTCATATGTGACAGAAGACGCGACGGTCCTCACGAACGTCGCCTTCACCATGCAATTCGTGTTGAAGTGCAACAACGGCGTGAAGGGAATCAGTTTGTACGCCGAAGTCGAGGGCAAGACGTTGCCGGCGGTCAGATTGAGCGCCGATAATAAATATCAGGTAATACACGTACTTTTTTGACGTTGCTCGCCATAACATAAATATCGTAAGACATAAGGTAACTGTCCCTATTAGTGTGCCTGTACGTCCTCTATTAGTGCTTTTATATTTAAATAAGTCATAAAAATAAATGTAAATAGAGTTTTTTTTTATTAAGTTAAAGTATTAATTTAATAAAAAAACACTTTGTCTATTTATTTGTATCAGTTTATTTTTATTTAAATATAAAACTTATTTAAATATAAAAGCACACTAATGTCCATTTCTATCAATGTAGATTAACTTTAATCACGGTTTTATTTACTTTTTATCTTTTTTCAATTCTTAAAAGTAGAAAAAGATACAAAGTAAGTTAAACCTGGATTAAAGTTAATGTATACGTTGATAGAAATAGATATAATAGGGACATATGTACAGGGACAGTTACCCTAAATGAATCGAATTGCGATACGTCTGAATTAAACAAAATTCACAAGTTAAATGATAATCAAAACAAGAATATAATAATATACTTATTTGGGGATATTTTATCACTTATAGTTAGATAATTAGATATATTTTATAATTTACTTATTTCTCTTTTAAATTGTTGATTGAAATTGAATGTAAAATAAAGGATCTAACTCCATTTGGTACCTTCAGCAAAAATTATTAGAAGAAAATTATCACATAATACTCATGAAATTATTTTGCATGTGCCATAGATATCCTGGACGGAAGATATTAAGAAAGCAAGGACTGGCGATTACTACATAAAACTGTACGATGAGGAGAAGTATGTCGCCGTTCGTAAAGCAATAAGGAATGGAGAGGATCCCGATAGCGTGAATCCCTTGGCCGTGGTTGTTCTTAATAATCCAGGAGTTTTCCTTGGCCCTTGGGTAAATTCTGAATTCTTAGCCGCTTTCCTAGCTATTCTTGTGTCCTATTCAGCATTTTCGGCAAAGTACAAACTTCTAGCATAGAAAATTTTTTTTGTTACTAAAAAATAAACATTAAAATTCGAACAAGTGTTATTTATTCTCAGAAATAAATCCTAATAAATTATACAAATAAAATTATTTGTATATATTTTTCACATTTGTCATAAAAAATTCATGGCGTATGTTACAATCTACTGCATTCGTAAGGAATTCTTTTTGTTATATATATAAATATATTATAGTCCTAATTTTTATGTAACAAAGTTATATGAAAAATTAAGTCTTAAATCGTATATCAAACTTGGACATACGCTTGTAGCATAGCAAAAATGTTATTATTTTAAGATTAACAGAATAGTACAAAATATATCCAGATACAATCAGTATATATCCACTGACGGTGGCTTCCCAAATAAGTGTTTCCAAGACGGTGGATATTTCAAATTACTACAGCTCGTTCCTAATACACATATCCATTGATTTAAATAGCACACGAGGGCCTTCGCGTCCTCTATGTTGTCCCCCTCTGAACAGAATTTGAACAGGATAGCGCAAGGAACGTTGGCGTCAGACAGAAAGTTGAAGAGGCTCCTGGCGAATCCACCGCCTGGTATCTGCAACCTCTCCTCACCGGATATCACATCTTCCGATTTGTGCGGAATCCAGTTGAGGTCGTCGAAGAGCTTGCCAGTCTGAGACTGTATACCAGGAGACGCAACGTATCTCAATTTGAGATGCTGCGGCTGGACCTCTCTTTTCGCATAATCGTGACTGCTCGCGAGAATTATTACCTGTAAGAAAAAGACATGCCTCATTAGAAAGAAAGTAAAATTACGATATTGTTGAAACTTAGGTAAATTAGATGTTACCTTAGCTATTTTCCTCTCGGCGACAAATTGCGCCAGTTCATTGAAAAATCCCGCGAGCCCGCCCACGTACGGCGAACGGATCTGTATGACGACAACGTGTTCCTTGGTCCCCGCGTAGATGTCGATCGCCGTGCTGAGCTCGCTCGAGTGCTCGTGATAGGCGTTCGCGCCTACGACAGGTACGAATGACGCGCTAAAAATTTGACCGATCTTCGAAAGGTTAAGATTCGAAATGAGCAGGTCGACCGACAATTGCCCGACATTTCCGACCGCCACCGACGGCAGGATGAGCGTATAATTCTCCAAATCAATATCCTGCGTTAACTTGATCATTTTCACATTTAATGTTATTCCGGTTTCGATTACGAGTGTCAGGTAAATATTGCGAAGTAATGTCAATGTGTCACGTAAACGATACTCGATTGGTAATGCGTAATCAAGTATCGAACAATTTTCGATGAGTTTCAGAAATTATCGATTACAGACAGGATAAACGTAAACGTGCGCAATTCATGTTCTGATCTTACGTTTAAGATTGTTGAGACATTCAGATCTAATTTTTATTTCTCTAAAAAAAATAAAAAAAAAATACTTAAGATCGTTTAAAAAATAACGTAGAGCAGGCTTTAGATTTAAATGGACTCAAATTCAGGATTGTGTCATGAACGCACTTAAGGATACTTGCTGCACCCCAAAGAGCGTAGCAAGAAATAACAAACTTAACATATGATTGGCTATATCAGAGCATATCAGAGCGAAGCATGAGAGCGGCCGTCCCGGCGGTTTTCGCGACCCCGGCAAAAGGTTTGACCTCCCCCGTATACTAGCGCCAATTGCTTCCACTTTTGAGACGGAACTACTATCACCGCCATTTTCTGATAC